AAACAATTTCTTATTTTCACCTCAATGGGGTGGGGGGAAGTTAGTGCCTGGGAGCTCAGAGATGGGAGTAGCTATGGACCATAAACTTTTTTTCTGATAATACTAAAGTGCTAGTCAGGAATACAGCCTTCTTGCATATAGCTTGCATTCTTACTGAACATGCAGGTTCACAGCTTAGAAGCACTGACTGTTTAAAGGATGTCAGTGGAACAGGAGTGTCTTCAAAAAGTGCTCAAAAGCCACAACTTCTTGAAATGCTACTGTATGGCTTGTCTGGAATAGGATGGTTTGAACAATGCTCTTTGACCTGCATCAGCAACCACAGCAGTTTCACACTCAACACAGGGTTTTTCTTCCTCCATTAAAACCAAACATTACTAAACTAAGCCTGAGATCTTATACTTCAAGAACCATTTCCCAAAATATATTAGTGCCCAAACACTTTATTTAGCATCTAATACTGTGTTCCAGATTTATTTGTCCACTGAATTATGGGAAGTTATCAATAGGAAGCTTGTTTTTATTTGTGATTCCAACTCTGAATTGTCTTTCCTTAGGGATCCTAATCTAGCTCCGGTGTTGAGCATGTTTAGTCACCAAATTAATGCCCAGCTTTTCAGATAGGTTTTGATGGATGTCAGTAACTCCTTTGGCTGTTCTGCTCTTGTTTGTGCCACGCCACTTAAATCTATGATTGTTTTAGTTTTGATATTTTGTTAATCCATACTGCAGTTTTTCTCATTTTTCAAACTACACATAATTATGTATTTATTTTTGCAAGGCAGTTTTATTTGGAGGTATAAGACATTTTGAGTTTTGAAGAACAGAGGCATATATGTGTGTGGAAATTACAAGTCAAAATAAATGGCCAAAATATTGAGGATTGCAGCATGTTTTCCAAGGACATATAAGACTTATGGCCTTGGCCATAAGAAAAGTAAACAAATTATAAAATATAATTTTAGATGCTAAAGACTTAGAAAAAATGGTGAAGTAAGCTAAGTAAGAAAATATATTGACAAGTATAATAATGATATATATTATTCTCGATCACATTCTGTATTTTTTATTTACCCCAATACCCTGATCCAAATCCCCTTCCCTATTATCTTCTGTTAGTTAATGGACAATGAATAATAATAATTTTAAAAAGTAAACAAGTTAATTTGCATAAAGTAGTAGTAGTGGTAATAATAATGTGCTGTCAAATCAATTCTGACTTATGGCAACCCTTTTCAGGGTTTTCGAGGTAAAGAATACTCAGAAGTGGTTTCATTCCATTCTTCGGAGGGTGCCCTGGGACTGTGCGGCTGGCCCAAGGCAACACAGGCTAGCTGTACTCATAGGATCACAATGAGGAATCAAATTCCCAATTTCTGACTCCAAAGCCGGATTCCTAAACCACTGAGCTATTCATCCAGTTACCGGCATAAAGTGATAGTAGCTAAAACAACCAGACAAAATGTAAATCCAATTGACATGTTTAACCCCCATATTAAAAAAAAATAATCAATACTATTTGGGTCAATGTACTACTGAAGAGGAAACAGTCATGGAAATTACACATCCCAAATACTTAATGCCTCCATTTCTAATTATAGGGGAAGGAAATAACATTCCCTCATATAAAATATGAAAGGGAAAAGTATTCACCACAAATACAAGATAAATCTTAACTGGGTGAGGTATTTATCGTACAAAGGGTACAAATATGCATGTGAGAGCCAAACGTTTTTGTTCGCACACTATTTGAATTCAGAAAAGAGCAACAAAGAATTGAAAGATAATTTTAGTAACACTGTAGAATAATGCACTAAAATCTGTTTGTGCAAGACCTCTAGTACAGAGGAAAAATATCAGAACTGAGAAGCAATTAATCATAAAACATTTTTGAAGAGGTAGTGCATTAGTGTGTTTCAGCATGTATAACAAAAACAAAAATAAAACAAAGTATTGTGGTATCTTTAATCTGTTTCTCTTTAAGGTGGTACAATACTTTTGTTTTTGCTGTACATAGCTGCAAATAATATTTGTTGTTTCTTCCTTTTTGTAACAGCTAAGTCATAACTAAGCTACATTATGGTTGTAAACAGAGTGTGATAATTTCACTCCTATAGTGGTATAACTGATTTTGATAGTTATCAGAGCTATAAAATATACCCATTGATTATTGTTATTTGTTTTAACTAGGACCTGTAACTGTATCTGTTGCTACCCATTTGTCTCCTGGGTCCATTCTCCTCCCATACCTGCACCAGTGAACAGAATTAAGCACTTGGTCCATTGCACATTGATGGATTATCTCAAGACCACATATTCTATGTTCTAACATAAGTACTAAAGGGTCCATTGCTTCAACGCTAAAACATTACCTTTTTGAACAGGGCATTAAGGAAGATCAGAGACCTATTGAATAGTTGACTTTTCTAGCAACCTCTTAAATCATGGAGTCAGCACTGATAGTGGAAGTGTAAGCAGACAAAAGGGGTTGTGGAACAGGCAGTATTACACTGTTCCTACCTACCTTTCCTGTTGCTTAATCACTGTATTTGGTAGGCATACACTCATTCACCAGTTCACAAATATAATAGTAGCACATAAGAGATACAAAGATAATCAGTTAGTGAAGAAACAAATCAAAGCCAACAAGCAGCTTTTAATTTAGTAACTCCTCATACAGAGTATTGCTTCAAAAGATTACACTTGCATTCTATAGTGGCATACCACTAATATGAATTCCAAAGTCACTCCACTCTGGCCAAGGAAATAATTAGCTTCATAAGAATTCTAACACACCCTGTTATCTAAAATTGCTACCGTGTTTCCCTGAAAATAAACAGGGTCTTATATTAATTTTTGCTCCAAAAATGCATTAGGGCTTATTTTCAGGGGATGTTTTATTTTTTTAATGTACAACAATCTACGTTTATTCAAATACAGTCATGCCATCTTCTTCTGGTTGCTGCACAACAGAGGGGCAGGGTTTTACTTAACTAGGGCTTATTTTAGGGGTAGGGATTATATTACCAGCATCCTGAAAAATCACACTAGGGCTTATTTTCAGGTTAGGTCTTATTTTCAGGGAAACAGGGTATACATATCATTGCATCCTGATATATTCATTCCTGGTAGTTTCCTGCCATGTTGAATAACTCCCAAATTAGTATCACATGTTATATAGCATTAGGCGGAAAAGGTGGAAATTAAGTTACTTATCACTGGTCAGAACCCTATTGAGATTTTATTCCGGAGTAAGTGAAATTATATACACTGCAGTAGCAAATTGCAGCTAGTTAACAAGGTGCTGGTTGCCCATCATGTTACTAGGCACCTTGCTAATTAGCTGTAATTCACAGATGCAAATTACATTATTTTACTCATTTCAGAATAAAATCCCAATATGATTTGTGCAAGTGGTAAATAATCCAGTTTGCTTCCCTAATAAAGCATCAGTTAAGTATTTCCCAGTTTCTCTTTGGAGAATTATACATACCAATCATTAGGCAGTTTTCATTTCTAGAAAGAAAAGTTCTAATTCAAAGCAAACAGTATTTTATCCACTTAAGAGCTATGTGGAGATGTCCAGTACATTATACTGCTAAATCATAACCAATCATTAGCTTCAGAATTTTCAGAATTACATCACACTGCTTACATCACTACCCCTTAAGATTATTGCTTAACCATACTGTATCCACAGCTCCAAGGAGAAAGCAGGCAAGATAACTGAAAGATATTTCAGATGCCTTTTTTGACATAGAAGATGGTGTTCAGTTGAGCACCAAGATACTTGAGATGTCCCATGAGTGCCCACTAATATGCCCAACAATCAGAAATTATGAGGAAGCAAATAACTGGCAGAAAGGAATCATGGAAGAGTCCAAACTCATGATGTTCATGTTTACAATTGCATTTTTTGCAGTTAAGATTTCATCTTTAGTTTACCATGAATTAAAATATTATAATTACATGAATACCCAATGTGGTGCAGTAGATTCACTGAGGAGCCAGAACTCATGAAACCTGGATTTGAATCCCCACTTACCATTGAAACTCATAGTGAGCAGATGGAATTGCTAAAACCCCTCCTTAAATGTCTCACTTACCATGAAAACTCTAAGGGTTGCTATAAGTAAGTTCCAAATTGACAGCTCATAATACAGCATAATAGAATCACAATATATGACAGTACAAAGAATAAGCTAAACTTATATTCCATCACTTCACTATGTACATTTCTTGGGGCTTTATGTTTCTTTAAGTATATACTCTCTCTCTCTCACACACACACACAGATTATCTATCTGCAACAATTTTACAGTGACAACATAGTTCTATACTCAGAAAACATCAATATCTCTCATAAATACTACATGCATACAAGCACATGCCCTGCATTCCAGGTACAGCACTTTTTTTTCCCCAATCACTTTTCATTTAAACCACCCAGACATGAACTGAAAATGCCAAATTGCACTTCCAGTCAGGCAAATGGAAGACTAGTGCTAGTTTCCTCTAGATGTTTGTTTAATGGCAAACATATCTACTTTAAAGATGCTTCTGATTTCTATCTCAGTCCCCTCACAAGAATGCTGGCCCTATAAAAACCCTATCCGACTGGAACTCCTTATTTTTCCTTAAAAAGGGGCAATAATCAGAAATCCATTTTAACAGTCTACCCAGGAGAAAGGTAAGGGAGACCTAAAGAAAGGTTTACAAGACTCCCAAAAGGTACTGAACAGGGGTAAGGGTTTGTTACGTGTAGTTTGGTGATGTTTTGTTTGTCTGAATGTGACCTGGTAGCATCTGTCTGCAACAACAATTTGTTATCTGGCTGCAATTAGCGTTAGACGACAGCAATTCTTAAATTAACCCAGGTCGCAGTTTCTTAGAAAGTCGACACACACACCCAGCTTCCTCAAAGGGAGGTTAGAGGTGAGGACGGGGGAGAAGATCTGTTGAATGCAATGGGGGCAGAGGAGGCGCACCTGTAAGAGCGAAGAAAGGGGGAAAAGAGGCAAGGAAGGTGTCAAATGACCGTAGGGTCTCTATGGTGACAGCGTGGCGGAGGAAGACCTCAACTCCCCCGACCGCACTCCACCCCGCAGCTTTTCTTACCAAATGGGAAAAGGGAAACCGAGGGTGTACATGAGGGGACACGACTGTTTCCCTAGAGACAGTTATGGAGCCCTCGACTTTTTTCCTCCCTCTTCAAGACGGTAAAGACAAACAAGGGATTGGGGAGGGAGGGAGGAACAGCCGCCCACCCACCCCCAGCCCCGAAATTGACAGTGCCAAGGTGCTGACCTTTCCCGCAGCGAGCGTAGCCATCTCGCCGCGTCCCCAGCCGAAGGCAAAAAAAAAACCAAACCCCACCCGCCCCGCGCTCACAAACAGCTACGGGGGGTCAGGGAGGACGGCGGGGGAAGAGGAGCAACCGTAACGCGCGCGCCGCTAGAAGAAGGAAAAAGGCGGGGGGGAAGGGGATTTAAATCCCTTCAGGGGTGACAAGGAGCGGGGACTACATCTCCCATGGTGCCTCGGGCGCGCTCTGCGGTATCCCGCTTGGAGAAGGGGGAGAGGAGGGAACCTGGCGCAGTGGTGGCTCCTCTGTGAGGTAAGAGCCGGCGCCTGCGCAGTTGCCCTCGCCCCTCCTTCCCGGCCCTCGCCTCGCAGCTTGCAGGCCGCGGCCTGTCGGAATCCCCTCCCCAGCCCCACCGCTTCCTTCCCTGGATCGGGCCGGCGGGAGGTCGTCTGGGCCAGCGGCCTGTGCCCTCCCTCGGCGGGGTTGGTTCTCGCCGCCGCGAGCGGAGCCTCTGGAAGAATCACCTTCTGCTCTCTTTGCGGCAGGGTTTGGGGCCCCTTTGGTTTGCCGGGCCGCCGCGAGCGGAGCCTCTGGAAGAATCACCTTCTGCTCTCTTTGCGGCAGGTTTGGGGCCCCTTGGCTTTCCCGGTCAGTTCCTGGCGCCTGTTGTAGCCAAGCCTCCGGGCTCCCCGCACCCGGAGAGGATGTCGGAACAGACGGGCTTGGTGGTGCCGCAGACCCTGGACAGGTGAGAGGCGGGAAAAAGGCGGCAGGTTGGAGGAGGCCTGTTTGGGCGCCTTGACGAAGGGGGAGTGTAAAAGTGGAGCGGGTCGAGCTTGAGACCGGGAAAGGCATCGCTCTGTGGCCTGTGCGGAGATAAAACGGTTTGGAGAGAGACTGTAAAGGGGTTGTGCAACTTTTTTTTCAAGACGATGTTGGTGCAAAACGATGAAAATGAGGTCTGTAAGACACTGGGTCGGGGTGGTTTTTGTTGCTTTTGTATGTCTTTGGAGCAGAGGATCACCAGGTGACTACATCCTTCTTTCCCCCCCACCATCCCATCCCAAGCAGCTGCAGCCAGGAGGAAGTTGCATTTGCGTTATTTGTACAGCTGTCATAAAGCTGTCATTCTTGTGTAGCTCCTACGTTGTTTACTCAAAAGTCAGCACTGCATTGTTCAGTGGGGCTTACTTCCAGGTAAGGGTATACTGTGTACTGTTTAGGACTGCAGGTTTATGTAGCCAGCAACTTACTTTTGTAAGTGCACATAGCCCTTTAAATCACTCACAGTTGGTAGATATTAAGGGAAAAAAAGATGACCAAATGTAAGACTGACTCTCATGCTCCTTTAATCACTTACAGTTGTTAGATATTTAATCAACAAGGAAAAATTACCAGATATTACTCCAATGAAGACAAACAAATCAGCAAGGCAGAATTTTAGATGCTGGCATATCACATTAAGCAGAGGTTCAATGCTTGTGTTACTTTGGTTATTTGTGCATGTGTGTACTGTAACCTTCTCTTTGTGACTGTCCTTCAGAACTGAACACAGGTTGTAGAACCTTTAAAATAATTTTAGTTTGGAGGTGCAGAGAAGGTATGCTCTGGGTTGTTTGGTTTTGGTCACAGGAGTCAAACAAATAATAAATTTTAGATTAGATATTTAATTGCAGTGAAAAAGGGATCCAGGAAAACTCTTGAGTTCTTACACGAACTGTTGAAAACCCAGAAAAAGGCTTTTATGAAGTAAACATGCATTTTGCTAAGTTCAGTCTTTAACTCTAATATAGGATGCTACACATTTGGACTGGTCTGCTGGTTATTTGCTGTAATTGTAAAATACAGGTTCTATTAATCATTTTAATGAACAGAAACTTGAATTTCTGTTGCAGTGTGTGGCTAATATAAAAGTCAGTGTAAACTGAGTATGCTTTCCCTTTTTAACCTAGTTATTAAAGCTAAATCGTGGAGGACTATTGTCCAAAATAAAAAGTTTGGGAGTCACCTCACCAGGCTGACTAACAAATGGTTACATAATTAAACAAATGAGATTTTGTGATCCTGGTAGTACAGTACTAAATTCCAGTACTATCCCAGTAATATTGCAAATATTCAGTACCAGGTGATTGATACAAAAGTGCACTATTAGTTCATAGGTACAAGTACAATATGTGACTTTCATTGCTCAGTTTTGCCAGAGGAGAATAACCGTCCAGTTCAAACTCAAAGATGTGCTAGTTGGGTCAGCTTAGAATTGCTGGCAGAAATGCCCTTCTGTCTGTAGGTTTTTGAGATCTGCCAGAATAGTAATCTTCGTGCAGAACTACTCTGCTGACTAAGATTTGCCAACAGAAGAGCAAAAAAGAGTTTGCAGAATGGGTAGAATGAGGTTAGGCCAGATCCAAACTACTGTACTTCTAGTCAGGACACAGCCACAGTGCTAGCACAAAGGTAAGCCAGAATGAGAGTGGTCCTAACTAATTTGCAAAACCTGAGATTGAGAAGAGAAGGCTTTGTATTTGGCACAAATTTAGCTGGCCGTTGGCTGTCTTTGCCC